TGATGGTGTCCTTATAAGAAGAGGAAATTGGACACAGATAACACAGACTGAGGGACAACCATGTGAAAACAAAGAGAAGACAGCCATCTTCAAACCAAGGAGAGGAGCATCAGATTTGTTGGAAAGGAGATGGGAATGACAGAAACTATTAGATACTGTTGGAGGAAATCTAAACTAGTCCAGTAGTTCTGGAAAGCAATCTAACAGTATAGGGGAAAGTGTAAGTAAGAGCATGTCCTATGAGCCAACAATTGACTTCTGAGTGTGTATCTCAGGGATACTCACACCCAGATTCATAAAAGAACCTTGATATTCCTGGATATCTGATTTGCAACATACAAGTTAGAAAAAAGTCTGTCATTAGGAGAAAGGATTAAAATGAGATGGGGGCATACTATTAAAATAGAATCACAGTCCTGCATCACTTAACAACAAAGATATATTCCAGAAATGTGTTGTTAGGTGATTGCATTGTTGTGCAAACATCATAGAGTTTGCACACAAACAGAGATGGTATAGCCTATTACTTCCAGGTTACAAACTTGTGCACTGAATACACTAGGCAATTGTAACACAATGGTAAGTACTTGTATATCTAAACATAGAAAAGGCGCAGTCAAAATAAGGTTTAAAAAATTAAAAATGATTTACCTGTCTAGGGTACTTACCAAGAATGGAGCTCGCAAGACTAGAAGTTGCTCTGGGTGTATGACTGAGTGAATGCTGAGATGATGTGAAGGCCTAGACATGACTGTACATTACTGTAGGCTTTATAAACAATGTACACTTAATGCTACACTAAGTGTATGGTGGCACATGCCTATAGTTCCAGCTACTTGGAAGGCTGAAGTGGAAGGATTGCCTGAGCCCAGCAGGTCAAGGCTGTGGTGGCTGTGAGTGTGCCACACTGCACTCCAGCCTGGGCGACAAAGTGAGACTCTGACTCAAAAAATAATAATAATAAAATAAAATAAATTTACTCTTTTCGATAATAAATAAAACTTACCTAACTTTAACTTTTTTGTTTTATAAACTTTTTGGTTTTTTTGACTCCTTTGTAGTAATAGCTTAAAACACAGATGTTGTTCAATTGTACAAAAATATTTTCTTTATATTCTTATTGTGTAAGATTTTTTTTTTCCTGTTTGGAAATGTATGTATTTATTTATTTAGTCTTTAAAAAAAACGAGGGCACAAACATAAACACTAGCTTAGGGCACACACAGGATCAGGATCATCAATTTCCCTGTCTATTACCTCCACATCTTATCCCACTGGAAGGTCTTCAGGGAGAACAATGCCCATGGAGCTGTCATCTCCTGTGATAACAATGGCTTCTTTTGGAATACCTCCTGAAGGACCTGCCTGAGGCTGTTTTACAGTTAACTTTTCTTTGTCTTACTAAGTAGGAATACACTCTAAAGTGATGATAATAAAAAGTATAGTGTGGTAAATACATAAACCAGCAACATAGTCATTTGTTATCATTATCAAGTATTAGGTACTATACATAATCGTATGTGCTATACTTTTATATGAATGGCAGGACAGTAGGTTTGTTTACAACAGCATCATCACAAACAGGTGAGTAATGCCTCTCGCTGCAATATTATGATGGCTGCAATGTCACTAGGCAATGGGAACTTTTCAGTTCCATTGTAATCTTATGGGACCACTGTCAAGGATGCGATTTGTTGTTGACCAAAACATCATTATGTGGCAAGTGACTGAATCTAAAAGAGCAAACTCTACATAGAGTAACACAGATAGATGTAAAACCCAGATTGCTGAGTATTTAGAGCATCATTCTATTTCTTGAAAATATAAACCTACACTAAACATGACATGTTTTTCAGAGGATATATACACTAAACACATTATGGTGTCTGCTTTCTGAAGAAGAAGAATGGATGGGAAATGGAAATGAAGGGGGAAAAAATAAGCTAGGATCTTGCATACACTGATGATGCTATACTAAAATCTGAGGATAGAATTAACTCCATTCTATACCCAAGTTTAAACACACACACACACACACACACACACACACACACACTTCCAAAGTACTTCCTGAATTCAACAAATTATTCTAGCAAGCCATATCTGCAATGAGGATATTGGGGTAAAACCATCTCATCTGAATGAACTTTTTTTGGTTATACTACCTCAGTGTTTCACAACCAGGGGCAATTTGCCTCACCCCTACCTCCTAGGGCATATTTGGCAACATCTGGAAGCATTTTTTGGTTGTCACCACTTGGGGAGTGGGAGTGCTACTGGCATCGGGATGCTACTAAAGGAGCCACAGTGAACCGGTCAGTTCCCACAGCCAAGAAGCAGCCTTTCCAAAATGTCAACATGGCTAAGGCTGGAAACACGCCTACCATCTCATCACAGTATCCCTGTAGTGGCTATTTCTTTGGTCTCTGAGAGTCCACCCTTCAAGCTAAGACTTTACTTTTCTCGCTTTTCACTTACTGTCTTCCCTCCCATCTTCCCCTTCCACTCTTCTTTTCATTCTGGTCAAGCACAACTCACATATATTAGATGTTATGATCCTCCTTCCCTCTAGGAGTCCTTGATTGACCTCAAGATCACACTAATTTTAATTGGTTACATGAAGACTGTGAGTCAGGTAAACTGATAAACATTTAATAAGTATGGAAAAAATGGATAAAATGACTCACTCCTTCTCCTTTTCTCTCTTATAAGCTGTTCTTCCAAACACCCATTTTTTTTTTTTTTTTTTGAGTTGGAGTCTCACTATGTCGCCCAGACTGGA